GAAATAAGATTCTCTGGTCTGATGAGACCAAGATTGAACTTTTTGGCGTTAATTATAAGCAGTATGTGTGGAGAAAACCAGGCACTGCTCATCACCTGCCCAATACAATCCCAACAGTGAAAGATGGTGGTGGCAGCATCAGGCTATGGGGATGTTTTTCAGCTGCAGGGACAGGATGACTGGTTGCAATTGAAGGAAAGATGAATGCGGCCAAGTACAGAGATATCCTGGAAGAAAACCTCTTCCAGAGTGCTCAGGACCTCAGACTGGGCCGAAGGTTCACCTTCCAACAAGACAATAACCCTAAGCACACAGCTAAAATAACAAAGGAGTGGCTTCGGAACAACTCTGTGACCATTCTTGACTGGCCCAGCCAGAGCCCTGACCTAAACCCAATTGAGCATCTCTGGAGAGACCTGAAAATGGCTGTCCACCAACGTTCACCATCCAACCTGACAGAACTGGTGAGGATCTGCAAGGAAGAATGGCAGAGGATCCCCAAATCCAGGTGTGAAACACTTGTTGCATCATTCCCAAGAAGACTCATGGCTGTACTAGCTCACAAGAGTGCTTCTGCTCAATACTGAGCAAAGGGTCTGAATACTTATGACCATGTGATATTTCAGTTTTTCTTTTTTAATACATTTGCAAAAAATTCTAAATTTCTGTTTTTTTCTGTCAAGATGGGGTGCTGAGTGTACATTAATGAGAAATAAAATGAACTTTTTTGATTTTAGCAAATGGCTGCAATGAAACAAAGAGTGAAAAATTTAAAGGGGTCTGAATACTTTCCGTACCCACTGTAGACTGCCACATACTGTGTGAGATATAGGGCCCTATCTTGCCGATCTGAAAGTATCAAACGCAAAATGCAAGTAGCTTTGTGGGTGGATGGGTATGGGAAAGAAGTAGCTACATTAGTCATAGGTGTGGTTTGGGCATAACGTGCAATAAACCAATCAGAGCGTCATCTCACATTCCCTTTTAAAGCAGGCGCGCTTGTTCCATGGCGGATTGTTATTATAGCGGCGGATTTTCCAGGCGCACGCCAGGAGCGGTTCACAGCCGAGGAGACCAACGTTCTCGTCAGGGCCGTAAAATACCGAGATACCATTATTGACATGAAATAAATGTAGCGCAGCCATACAATAAATCAAAACAATGTAACGCAGCTTCGCAGGAAGAAGACCCTGGCCCCGGGAGCAGTGCGCAAGGGCCAGCGCAAACACCAAGGTGCAGAGGATGGTAAATGGACCTGTACTTGTACAGCGCCTTTCTAGTCTTCCGACCACTCAAAGCGCTTTTACACTACGTGCCACATTGCATTCTTTTACACACATTCACTCAGTGATGGCAAAGCCCATCTAACAGAAACTAACATTCATATACACTCACACACCGATGCACGGCATCAGTAGCAATTTGGGGTTCAATATCTCGCTCAGGGATACTTCGACATGTGGCACCAGGAGCCGGGGATCGAACCCACAACCTTCCGGTTAAGGAATGACCTGATCTGCCTCTGAGCCACAGCCGCCCCACAGAATGCAGACCCACTACACGCTGCTGTTCGTGCAAGAAACCGGGTTTGACATGCTGAAGCGGGAGCTGTCCGGAATGCGGCAAAGTATTAATGCCCGTCCTTACCGGGTGGCAATGCTGCTGCTGCCTCTCAGGCGCATCCCACTGACTTTAGACTAGACTAGGTTTTTCCTGGTCTGTGGCGGAATTGTTTTCTGAAACAGCAAAATAGCACCACGGAACGTTTGCGCCGGAACACGCCTCCTCTTTTCGCTGAACTGCCCCCCAGAGCGCAAGTTCATTCCCTAATTTAAGGACGTGCATCGGTGCAAAAAAGGAATTATACAAGCGCCAGTGTACAAAATCAATTGCGCTGAGTGCAAGATAGAGCCCATAGACTGCTACATACTGTATGAGATATAGACTGCTTGTAAGAGATATAGACTGCTAAATATTGTATGACATATAGACTTCCACATACTGTATGAGATATAGACTGCTACAAACTGTATGAGTTATAGACTGTATGAGATATAGACTGCCACATACTGTATGAAGTCAACAGATAAATAATAAAGTGGTTGCATTAACAATTAAGAAAAGAAAAACAAAGCAAAATCCAGTAGATAAAACACAATGAGGGATCGCTTCCAGTGGTTGGTTGGGACAGTTTATATAACGAACAGTGTGTTAAACCTGCAGTCTCTCTAACAGCCAGCAGGGGGCAGCTCCACTCTGATAGTATTGAGTCTTATGGAGAAGTTGATTTATGAGCTCAGTAAACAGTTTCCTGATGAGTTACTGGTCTCAGTCTCTAGTTTCAGTCATGATGTTCATTTAGTAACTGATGGTCCCATTTAGAGTAAAATAGACCATAAAGCAGGGTATGCTTTAGGGCGGGGCTACCTTGTGATTGACAGACCTTCACAGGGAGTCCACACAGAAAGGCCCTGCCCCAGCCGGGAGTCAAACCTTCTTGCTGCGACAGTGCTAACCATAGAGCCACCAGAGTACAGCAGAAGTTGGCTCAGGGCTGCTGTGTCTCAGGAGGTTGGTGGTTCAAACCACGGCTCCTGATGGCTGAAAGGTTGTGATTGAAGGCACTGTAAGGTGATGTCCGCCACTCTCCTTCGTCCCTAACGTAACACTATCGAACACTTTAAGTGCGGAGAACAACTAGACTCGAGAGAAGATTGTGGATTGCCTCACAGTCAGTGGTTCCCTCTCTGGCTCTCCTCGTGATAATGATGAAAGCCTCCTGGATCTCTCTGACTGGTTGGAGCTGGTAGAGGAAAGGCTGACCGATCCCTGGCTCAGCGGAGATCATCCAGACTCCAGTCCTGGTGGGTGACAATCTATGCCTGGTGGCGAAGGTGAGTCGAGCCTTGTGATGCTGGATGTCTGCGGCTTGTGGCGGCTTACTGCCCTGGATCTGAAGCGGCTGGTTCATCTTTCTGTCAAGACTGTAACGACTCAAAACAACAGAACCAAAAAGCAGGACTCTGAAGTCGGCAAGAAAGCTGATTGTCCAGAATCCAAACACCAGGCAGGGGTCAACAATCCGACAGGTAGACAGAACCAAAGGAAGTAGGCAGAAATCAATTCACACCGGTAGTCAGGCAGGGGATTAGGCGGGCAGGATCAGACAGGCAGGGAACACTATACAATCTGGCAGAAGGTAGGTGGATCTGGGCCGGATTATGAATGAGTGACTGATGGCGGTAATGAAATCCAGGTGTTGAAATTGGGCGGGGAAGCTCAGGTGAGGGGGGCAGGTGGGAGAAAGGTGCATGTAGGGCAAATAACAACTTTAAACATGAAAGCTATACATTTTCTTCATATAATTCGTAGGCAGAACATTTCTTTTATATCTACGCTGACAACGCGCAGTTCTACCCTTACAACAAGATGTAGTGTTATATGACAATTCAATTTCAATTCAATTCAATTCAATTTTATTTGTATTTTACCAATTCATAACATAAGTTATCTCAGGACACCTCTAAATAGAGCAGGTCTAGACCGAACTCCTTATAACATTATTTACAGAGACCCAACAGTACCACAGTGTGACAGTGACGTGAACTGGAGCAGGTAAAGAGTTGTGCCGTCCTGCTTCCTACAACTCACGTTTACCTCATACTGATCCACAGAAAGTAATTTATGCTTTTATTTCATCCCGTCTACACAACAGTAACTCCCTGTACACCTGCCTCACTCAGACACTGGTTCAGACACAAAATATCACCTAGTTTTACATCTGCACTGGTTACCAGTAAGATTGAGAACTGATTTTAAGATCCTATTGATTACCTTTAGATCACAGAAAGATCTTAGCCTGGGTTCTATTTTTAACTCTTTATGAACCAGAACACAACCTTAGATCCTCAGTCCTCTTGTTGTCTTGCTGTGGGTGCCAGTCTCTGAAGGTCTGGACCCTGGGGTGCTAAATACAGGTTTTCATGGGACCCTATTGGTCCTCCTTTGCAGCTCAGAGGCAGCACAGTGCTCACCGTTACTCTGTTGTGTTTAAAGCTCCTGAACTCTCTCACCTTGTAATGAATGCAGCACATTCTCACCCCAGAAGGTATTATCTTCTCAAATTTAATCACAAGCTGTCAGATTTGCCACCGCCTTATTTAGCTCGGAGTCGTTTGGCCTCTCCTTTCTATTTCATGGAAATTTCCATCAATTTAAGATCACACCTCTCAACTGCCATCCCTAGTATTTGTTCTTTCACCATCCAGTGACCCAGTTTCATTCCTTTGCTACGTTTACCACTGTGGTGACCCCTCCCACTCAGGTGTGGCTGGAGGATGAGCTCCTGATTGCTTGAATATATAGAGAGCTAAACAACCTAAACCTCCTCCCAACCAGCAGGTTTTTGGTCTGTTTGGGTTTACCTAGATGTGTTGTTTATAACATTTTTGCCTTCACCTCACCTAGCCCATATCCACACACTCACTACGCTACTGACTACACTGATGCACATATTGTTATACTTAGTGTATAGTTTAATATTAGTCTGAATACATTTATTTTGTTGAAAAACCCTAATTATATGTGTGGTCTTTCTTGTTTTGTCTGAACTTAGAGCCAGTTCATGACACTAGCTAGCAGCTTGTCCATGTTAGCAACAAGCTAATGTTAGCTAACACATTATTACAATATATTGTAGCTTTGCGATGATGTTAGCTTTGACTTTGGACTTTTTCCAGGGCTTTCAGTCACATCTGAGAGTCTTCATCAGTGGACAGAGTTCTTAGTTTATTTATTTCATATTTGAAGAATGCAGCGTCTCATTTTTATAAAAGCCAATTTTCAGTAAAGTGACACAAAAGATCATCAATATAATGATAGTGGAAATGAATGAAAGTCAATATTTCAAGAAAGTTTCTCATTTTGATGACCTAATAAAAAATGAACTTTAAATCAAAAATGTAAGTTTAGAATCTGCAGGTGAAAGTATTACACAGACGGCCGATTAAATGGAACTTTATTTAAACATTGTGAGTTGACAGTTTGACCTGCAGGAGGCAGAAACCTGACTGATGGGTTACAGCAGGTCTGAAATAACAATGTACCTATGAGTCTCAGGCTGATAGCTGATTGGTCAGTTTGTTACCTGAAGGCAGATCACACTTATATGACACATAATTACAATAATTTGACTTTTAGTTTGTTCATCAGTCTTTATTCTCCCATTTCATCCATTTTATTCTACTTTCATCTGCTATGTCAGTAGTGGGAGTCTGATTGGGGCAACCTGATAATAAAGAGTTGCGGTAATCGAGCCTATAAGTAAAAAAAGCATTGATTAGTTTCTCTGCATCCGTCTGTGACAGGAACAACAGAAACAGTGAGCTGATCACAGCCAGATAATTAGATAAACAAACAAGTTTGTTAGATTAGTTAGGTCTGATGAAGGTCAAAAGTTTCACAGCCAGATGTCGGACGTACAGTCTCCTCCAGGATATCTGAGCTCGTGGGCGAGAACCGGACCATCGGGTTCTTTACCGAAATCCACCAGGAAGTCCTCATTCACAGAAAGACCTCCGTTAACAGTGTCCACATCCATCTGCATCATCACTGAACCCTCCCTGCACAGATAGACACACAATATACAGTCAACAGATGGCCAAAGGTATGTGGACAGCCCTGAAGCCTTTTGTTCTGTTTTAGTTGGACATTTTTAGACTAAACGGCTTGTGACATTGGGTAAAATCAATCAATCAGTATACTTGATTTAGAATTAAAGGTTGCAGACTTTTGCTCTGTAAAGCTTCTCTATGTAATGTTCATTAAACTGTAGCTAATAGCGCCACCAGTTGCCGTTCAGTGAACTGCAGTCAGCATCCTGTTGCATCATCCTGGGCATCGGCCAACAGTGACAAACACTGAACGCTGTAAAATAACTGACAATCATATTTAGAATAACGTTACTATCTGCAATGTTCCTATATTTTATTTGGACCGTTAGCTTCATGCTACCAACTAGCTCGCCGTTTACAGATCACCCATCAGCCAACACCACGAAGAAACCAACACCAGACCCACACCACGCAGCCAAGACACAGCCAGCCGGACAACCCCAGCTTAGCTTAGCTACAGTTAGCTAGCTGGATGCCCCTGCCTCGCATCACTCTTGGCTAGTAGTATTGCAGCAGTATTGCAGTACTGTGAGTACTGACTTGATCATGTCGGGGTAGAACTGTTTGTCCCAGGCGCTGTAGAGAGACGTCGTCAGATAAAGTCTCCGTCCGTCTAAACTCAACTGTAACATCTGAGGACCTCCAGGGATACGCTTCCCCTGAGAGACAGACAGGTGGAGACAGACAGGCGGAGATCAATAAATAAATAATCAGCCCCATTAGGGAATGGAAGACAGGATGTTGGACAGACAGACAAGCTCACTACTTCCTGTCTGTTGTACCTTGATGATGCGTGGGGGGGGCTGCGGCTGGTTCTCGGGGTCTTCCAGGACTTTGACCGGACCGTCACGGATGATACTTCCTCCTAAAAACACCTGGGAGAGACAGACGGGTTAGCTGTCTTGCTGTGAGCGCTCACCTGTTCGTCCTTGGAAAGGTGTGACAACATTCAGACCTGGCCGACCAATCGCGGGTTCCTCCTGTCTGTGATGTCATACTGTCTGACGTCACCATGCAGCCAGTTACTGAAGTAAAGAAAACGGTCGTCCAGTGAGATCAGGATGTCAGTGATCAGACCTGGACAGACAGACAGGGAACCAGTCAGACAGGAAACCAGACAGACAGACAGACAGACAGACAGACAGACTCACCAGGCATCTCAGGCAGCGCCCACCCCTCTACCTTCTTACTGGGAACACTGATCACCTTCTCTGCAGCCCAGTCTCCTTTCTGAAAACACACAAAAACAGCAGATGATGAGTTCACATCAAACATAAAGTGAATGTTACTCACAGGTTAGTTGTTTACTGCTGTTACTCATGAGAGTAACACAAGGAAATATTGGCCATTGCTGAACTGATCACCAATCAACCAGAACCAGAACTAGAAAGATTGGAATCTAGAACCTTGTGGTACTGACTGGTGTTTTGTAGAATCTGAAGACTGTTCCCTGCAGAGCACATCCCACGTAGCCCTCGGTGGCATCGGGGTCATGCAGAAATCGGACCTCCAGGGGAATTGCACCCTCCTCACCCAGATCGAGTGTCTGCAGCCTCCTGTGGGTGGTCCAGTCCCAGATGTGGAGGGAGCTGCCGTAGTGACCTAGGACACAAATAACAATGAACTTTTGATTTTGGGCCAGCGGTGCAACCGGGAGCTTGACGTTGTTCTTAACATGTGCAGAACCATGTGTTAAGAGATTTTTACTTTCATCAAATCTGGTCTCAGTTAATGGATAGCCTGGAGTGAACCTACAATTGTAGCACTGGCTGGATAGTGCCTACCTAGAACCCAATTCCAGTGACTGAAGTCTTACTGGGATCATATCAAAGAACTCTACGTTTCGGACTGAAATCTTACTGGGATAGGAACCTAGAACCCAGTTGCAGGGACTGGAGTCTTACTGGGATCAGACACTAATGGCCCGTGTTACTGACTAGAGATTTACTGGAAACAAGAACTCTGTGGTACTGACTTAAGTCTTACTGGGATCCCAGAGGGTTTGGATTAACTGTATGCAGATTACATTTCTTTGACATCAGAACGACAAAATAGAGGAAAGAAAGATTGAAATGTTTCCTCTTGACTCACCTTCTTTGACATGGGCTGGATTAAAACCATCAACCAGAGATTTAGGTGCACCCCATTCACTGCTGATCATCACATTGTGCCGAGGTTGGTACCAGAAGTCATATCCAAAGGGCACCGCTTCACCCGGGTGCTCCCAGTTACCGACCACCTCGAACGTCTCACCATCCAGCAGGACAAAACCACCTGGGAGGATGACAGCAGGAGAAACATTGAAACTGTCCACTAGAAGACGCTACAACAACAATCAGCAGAGGGGCCTGTTTAAGTCTGGATAAGAAGAGGATTTTACATATTTCGATGATATTCCTTTACTTTTGGGTGTTTCTAATAAACCTTTTTGAAACAGTCCCCTGGTTGTCCCACCTTTCCCATTGCCGCACGGGTCTCCCATACAGCTGATCATGATCTGACCGCTGCCCAGACAGTGGGAGGTGTGAGGATTCGCCAGACCACACTTCCAGTACAGATCGATAGGCTCCACTATCTGAAGACACAACAACCAAACATAACCACGACTCAGTAAATCTTATATGACACTTTTCAAAATGTAGTTCTATAGATAAAAACATCCATCCATCCATCTTCTGTTGCATACCTTGCCTGGAGTCTTACTGGAGTAGAACTGAGAACTGAGAATTGAGAACTGTGTGGTACTGACTGGAGTTTGACTGGGTGTAGAACCTAGAACCCGATAATAGTGGCTGGAGTTGGAGTGACTGGGACCGGCACCAGTTCCTGAATTAGACGAAAAAAGGTGCTACTGCCCTGATTCAGCTAAACCCTAATTCTTTTGCCCTTTTTTATAATTTTTACAAGGACATTTTCAGTGCTTGTTAGGTTTAAACTAGCTGTGCTTACACAGAGATGCAGTTATGCTGAGGAGTACCTCACCAGCACTGATTTTATTTCTAGAAATACTGAGGTCCAAAAACAGAAATTTGGGGTTTATTTTAATGTTTTGATGCATGCTCACCAGAGGTGGCATTTCAGACAATGATTGGCACCTTGATCCCTGTTTTAGTGACTACAGAAACCTGTGATGGTGCCTAGAGTCTTGGTGGTATCAGAACCTAGAAGCCTTAGGTCTTTCCAGGAAATACAGGTTCAGATAGTTTGTCCTTCTCTATATTGCTGAATTGGACCTGTATACTACTATACAAGTTAAGCTGTTTTCTTTTGTGATGTGAGTCAATTGTGAATCAAATGTGAGGTTTTGTCCTCCTTGACTTGAAAACTGAGAGCTGCTACCCTCCCTGAGGTTTTTAAATATGTTCACTGGATTTTGGGGTTTAGCACTCCACTGAGTTGTCGACCTCCTCTTCCAAAAAACATCCGACCATGGAAACTAACTTCAGCTGCTTGGATCCATCATCTCGATCTTTCGGCCAATTCCCAGAGACCAGATCCTCAGCTGAGGACTGGAACAGAGATGATCCATGAACCCTGGGATACTTTAACTCCTTCACTTGGAGCAGTGACTTACTCCCCACCATTTTCCAGCAGAGTACCATGAACGGAGACTGGGAGGTGCTCACTCACATTCTTCTGCTTCACACTGGGAAAACTATCCCAGTTTGCACTACAGGACACAACCAGTATCCCTCCAGTTTCACCTCTCGTCTTTGGTGGTTTATTAAAGTCTCTGAGGAGCACTGACTGTTTAATGATTACACAGTGACTCAGCAGACTGCCAGACATGTTTGCATTCGGATTATTTATCAGACTTACTGAAGCCAACATTTTTCATTTCCCACATCCCCAATAAGTCAGACGTCTTTCAAACATTTTAAGCTTTTTAAGGAACAGCTGTTAGAGTGTTTGTCATCCTGTCTGAACTCAGGATGAACCTTCATCCTCCTCCTCCTCCTCCTCCTCCTCCTCAGAACAGCAGACCTTGTTTTTTCACTAGTTCTCTGCTCTCTCCCACAGAAGACCTGAAGAAATGTATTTCTCTGAAGTTGAACAGCTACTGTTTTCACAAGTTAAACCCATGCAAGCACTCTTTACGTCAGGACTTCAGGATGAATAGTGAATATTACCAAAGACATTTTCAACCTGGAGCTTTCTGGGCCCCTGATCTGCAAGGGGCCCTGGGCACTTTTACCGGCTTTCATCCAGCTTTGGTTAAAGCCAGCAGCCAAGATTTCTCTCTCTGCTGTACAAACACAGGAAGTGGAGTTGGAGCTTTCCTTCAGTCACTCTTGTTTAGACTGAATAAAACTGCTTCCATTGAGAGAAGATCCATCAGAGAAACAGGCAGCAACCTTCAAATTAGTTGTTAGGTGAATGTTTTCATATCAGAAAGAAGTTGTGTGCTACACTAACCAAAGGCTATATTTTGTAGAAACCTGGGTTGGTTTGGTATTAAATTAGTAAGTAAATCATTAAGTTTCTTTCTTCAAAAAGTAATCAGACAACTTACTGGAGCCAGGCCACCCTGTTTCCTTGGCAGAGTAGTGTCAATGAGCTGTGGCGTGCTGTTGGTACCTTGTGGATCTGAGGAGCTCTGGGGTTCGTCCCGACATCAACCACATAGATTCTAGAGGAGATGAGCGCCGGTAGAATCAGACGGTTTCTCTTCTTGGAGGCGTCGCCAAAGCAGCTGCTGCAGGCGTTCCAGCCAGAGTGATGCAGCTCGTCGCGAAGGTTCGGCATGGGCAGCCGGTGGATGACCTGCAACGGCAGAGGTCAGGGGTCACAACAGGTCCAATGAGAGGAATATATGCATTTTATTTATTTAGACATTACAAGAAAGACAGTAAAACAGATCCTACAGGTTTGATACTGAGAAAAAACAAAAACCTGAAGGGAGAAGAAGCAGAAGAGGAAATGAAAGCGAGACATCAGAGAATCCAGCAGGAGGAGAGAGCTGACAAGAGAACAAAGACAAGAAATGAACCAACGCTACACATCAACGAGCTTCACTGATCACTGACTCATTTAGATGTAAAGATGCAAGACAATAAGTTGGAGCAAAATAGAAAGTTTGTCTGTAGGAGCCAGCAGGGGATTGGATGACTCGTTCTACCTGGCAGTAGGTGGAGGATTTGGGGTCGATGTCAACAGTGGCGAGGTAGTCGGGTTTAAGGATGTCAGTGTTACGGTAGATGCAGGGCAGGTAGACGATCTCCTCCCGACGACCTTCAACAAGAAAAACAACTAAAACTATTGCTGCTTTAGGGATGGAGAGGGTTATGTGCCTTACAAACCAAACACTGGATTTAGACGGGGCCTTTGTGTTTTTTGTAAGTTTTGCAGCCACCGTAGTTTCTCCCTCACGCTTGGAAAGGGGGAGGGAGCAAGTGAGTCTGAAACTACACAGCCAGATGCCACTAATTGTACACATTGGAGTGGAAGTGGAACCACTGTGACTACACCTGTGGCGAGGACACACATGATGATACCTCTCTCTCTCTCTCTACGTATATAAATATATATACATACTCACCCTTCATAGCATCCAGTGGACTGTGGTATCCTGGTCCACATCCTGAACAGTTGGCTGAGGCTGAGAAAACAGAACATTGGAAATGTAATGAGACCGAACTGATGCTGTTATTACTGCAGGAGACGCCACAGAGGTCAGAGGTCAGTGTTTAATCCTGGAGCGTTACAGGGTGTCTCCCAGTTCACTGCTGAAAGAGCTGCTGGATGAGTTCCTTCCAACAATTTAAACCCACACATACTGTTCCTGTTTATCAGACTGATGCATTCTGGGAAACAGAGCTCCTACAGGAGAGTATTATACACGAGAGTGTTTGTTTTATACACAGCAGGGTGTTTGTTTCATACACAGCAGGGTGTTTGTTTTATACACAGCAGGGTGTTTGTTTCATACACAGCAGGGTGTTTGTTTTTTACACCCTGGGAGTGTTTTATTAATGATTTCTATCATCAGATATCCCAATTACACACACCTTTAATGAAGTTGTTTACACTCCATCATGAAAACAAATCTCTCTGCAACAACAACACAACATGAAGCGTGAAGCATGTTCTACACACAGTGGTGCTCTGCACTACATGCTAACATCAGTATGCTAACATGCTCACAGTGACAGTGCTAGCATCCTGATGTTTAGCAGGTTTACCATGTTCACCATCTGTTAGCATGCTAACATTAGCTAGTCAGCAGTAAACACAAAGTGCAGCAGAGGCTGATGGGAATGTCTGTAGTTCTGCAGGTATCTGGTCATTAACAAAAGTACTGGACACATTCAAATGTCGCCCTGATGATGGCAATAGAAGCAAAGTCAGAGAATCATCAAAGTAGGAAGCTAGAGGGGTTGCAGCAAAAACCTGGGTGTGGGAGTCCTTGCATGGAGATCAGGGACAGCACCTGCAGGATGGCAGACCAGGAGGGTGGGGTAATGGACAGGGGGATCACACTGTTCAGCCTTACTGTCTTTATTCCAGAGTGCTATCATCTCAAATCCATGATGATCAATACAGTTTCTGTTCTGGTTGTGAAACAGTGAACCTCTGTCTTCATCCTTGCAGGGTTGTCCCATGAGAGGAGTCTTCATTAATCCAAACATTTGTGCCCGAACCCCTCACCCACCAGGTGCCATGAGGGTGTTGGGCTTCACCAGGATTGTTTCTGGCCACAGATTCTTTTTGTGATTTTCAGGGACAAGGGTTCAAGGTGCAGCAGTGTTAAGGAGAGGGTCTTACTGAGGACCACAGAATTGCTTCTCTACTCTTTGCAGATGATGTGGTTCTGTTGGTTTCATCAGTCTGTGACCACCAGTACGCACTGGGGAGGTTTGCAGTGGAGTGTGAAGCAGTCAGGAAGAGAGTCAGCACCTCCAAGTCTGAAGGCAGAAAACGGTGGACTGCTCCCTCCTTTTTGGGAGTTCCTGCCAGTTCAAGTATGTCGGGTCTTGTTCACCAGAGATGGTAAAATAGAGCCTGGGACAAACAGTCAGATTGGTGATGTGGGCCTTGTGGGGGACCTTTGTGGTCCAGAGGGAGCTGAGTCAGAAGGTAAGGCTTTCACTTTACCAGCTGATCCACGAACCAGCTCTCGTCTGTGGCCTCTGGGTAGTGACAGAAAGGAGGATACAAGAAGGTTCAGCCTTAGCGAGAGGGGAAGGAGATCAGAGGAGAGCCAGCTGAGGTGGTTCAACAGCTGATCAGGATCCTTTGGAGGTTTTCTGCATATCCAACTGAAGGTGTAGACCCGTGATGCTGGAGAGATTATATATCTATACCACATCTACATACATCTATAAATACACATACATGCATACAAATACTGTACATAGTCAGGATGAGCAAGTATCTGTTCAACCGATAAAACTATCTGTAAGTGGATCCATATTCGGACTCAGACTGGACGTGGGCGGAGCTTAAACCTGAAATGGGCCATCAGGAAGTTGTTAATTTAAGATTGATACGGGTTGATCAGAAGTTGTTATATTTATTGGAAAACTATTTACAAAATTAAGTTTAGAGAAATGTTATTTATCACAAGAGTAAGAGAATTATTTACAGGACAAGATTTTTCCTAACAGTTGGTATATTTACGAGTACAGATATCGACAGAAAACAACATTATCTGTACTGGATACTTGTTTCTGCCGAGTACTCGCTCAACCCTGATATATACAGCCAGACAGACAGACAGACAGACCGACAGACAGACCCTTAATGGTGTCAGGTGGTTTGTGGTATCCCAGTCCACATCCTGAAAACACAACATGTCAAAGGTCATAAAAACACCCCGAGACTTATTACTGCAGGACACGTCACAGAGGTCAGAGTGATTCATTCTGGGAAACAGTTCTTCAGAGCTACATGGGAGTATTTGTTTTATACATAGCAGGAGAGTTTTGTAGGTCAGTTTGGCTGCTACAAACAATTTTTGTTTGTAAGACTTAAAGATTTCTAAAGAAGAAAAGTAAATTTCATCCTTAGTAGTTTATTTCAAAACTTCAGAGATTGACTTAAAACTAAAAAATGTAGTAAAGTTATTTTGTTACAGTGTACTTTGTATGTATGAATGTATACTTGTACTCTGTGGTATCACCTGCAGGCTCCGCCCACCACAGGTGGAACCAGTGCTCTGATTGTTTTACTGGATAAGACTTCATCTGGACCTTAGAGAGTTTATAGAGCGAGTGTAGATTATTAAAGAGTATCAGTGACCGTTTATTAATATATTAAACTGTCAGTAAATCATTTATAAGCTTCCACTCAGGTTCCTTTAATCTGTGTACTGTGTGTACACATATATAATCTGTATGTACACTTATATAATCTGTATGTACACTTATATAATCTGTATTTGCATTTATATAATCTGTATGTACACTTATATAATCTGTATTTGCACTTATATAATCTGTATGTACACATATATAATCTGTATGTACACTTATATAATCTGTATGTACACTTATATAATCTGTATTTGCATTTATATAATCTGTATGTACACTTATATAATCTGTATTTGCACTTATATAATCTGTATTTACACATATATAATCTATATGTACACTTATATAATCTGTATTTGCATTTATATAATCTGTATGTACACTTATATAATCTGTATTTGCACTTATATAATCTGTATTTACACATATATAATCTGTATTTACACATATATAATCTGTATGTAGTAATATTGAGCTGACTACAGCTACTGTAGTTCTTCATAAGAACATTTTTGACCACAAATATGTAATCATGAAGCAGCTTTAATGTCACTCTCATTATTCTCTGATAACAGACGATCAGCTTATCAGTTGATTATTTATTTATAGTTTCTCTACCTGGTTTAACAGGAAACCACTAAAAGTTATTTGAACTTAACTTTAATTGTTAACATGATTACATTGAGCACTGTAAGTAACGGAAAGAAAAAGATTCTCCATGAAGCAGCTTTTATTCACCGTTTTAAGTCACACTAACTTTAATCTGAGTTAAAGCTGCAGGTTTTAAAACAGACGGTTCGTGTGAACGAATGTAACCTCCAGTTATATAACACACACACACACACACACACACACACGCACACATGCACACACACTCACACACACACACACACACACACACTGACAGCCATTTAAAGGAACAGGTCGCTGTTTTTCACCTTTCAGCTCTTCAGTTTGTAGAAAATGAATCAATAACTATTCTGACCATCAATTATTGGTTGAAAATCCTCTTTTATAGACGTCACAGCAACATTTTTATTTGTTTTAAAGTTTAAATGAGGTAACCTGAAGTTTTTACAGCCTCTTAAAATATTTGATTTCATAGTATAATATTCTTACATTTTATTTATTTATTTCATTTCACTTATTTTATTGTTTTTTTCTGTTTCTCCTGGAATGTTTTAATATTTATTTGTTGTGTAAAGCAGCTTTATTCTGAAAGGTTCAGTATAAATAAAGTTTATTACATATAATAATTTTGATAGACGATAGAGTCTCTCGTGTCTATCGTTTCTCTTGGATTCGTTGAAATTAATGAACTTTAATAACTGATTTAATTAAAACAAACATAAAATCATCAGATAACAAGATTTATATGTTCAAATCATGATCAATTAATATTGTCTTGTTTATATTTATTATCCTGAATTGGCGCTATACAAATAAAATTGAATTGAATTGAATTGAATTGAATCCTGTTTCATTCTTATTTTGCTGCTGATTAATAAAGATTCATCTTTTCAACGTTTCCTAAAAAACATGTAAAACATCTTATAGACAAGTCTGAAAACTGGAATTAATTTTGTTTCTTCCAGTCAGAGTGAAATAGTTTAACCTTTCTAAGTTCTTTTGTATGAACTGTTTTTATTTCACGGACTGCACCTTTAGTTTACCGCCTTAAGTGAGACTGCAGCAGAACAAAGGTCGACCTGCCTGAGAGCTGCAGCTCCAACCAGACCTCATGAGAAAAACAGGCTATTTAAGCAGCTGAGTCAGACAGTGAGAGACAGACAGACAGACAGACAGATAGGATGAAGAGAAACCAGCTCACCCATGGCTGACTGAGCTCCTGGTCTGATCAGATCCTGCAGGTCCTGCTCTCACAGTCTGGACTCTCGGACCAGGACCAGTGTGAACAAAACTGGGAGGGTGGAGTTTAAGTCCTTTCATATCAGAGCACAGCCAATCAGAGGAGAGGGGCGGTGGCTTAGACACCACCAATCAATCTGCTTGTAAATGCTGTGAAGCCCAGAGGTTCAAACATAAAGATCAGAGTGTTTTAAAATCAGACAAATTCTTTATGGATCTCTGACTGAAGTTTAACAACATTTCATTAGACAAAGTACAAAGATATCAGTGTGTGTTTTATTGGTTTATTTACTTCTTTATGTTTGTTATATGTATTTAATTGTATAATATTATTAACTGGTTTTGTTCATTCACTGGTTCCAGGTGCTGCTCACCTTTCACCTTCCCTTCATAAATAATAAGAAATCTAAATAAATGTGTGTTTACTGATCAGTTCCTCCAGGAAGCTGCAATCTTAATATCCTCACTGGAACCTTTCTCTCCTGCAGGGGACTGAGTTACACTGCACACCACTAGAAGAATAAATGACATCGACCAACTGAAGACCTCTCGCGTCTGTTTTCAGCAATCTGATCCCGTAAAACATTTCCTAGAAAGTCCTGTGAGGGAAAAACTAAACGAATATTAAGATTCAGTTGTTCATTTGACACTTTAACCCTGTAAGACCCAAATATAGAAAAACCTTTAAAAAAAATTATTTTACCTGTCAGATGTTGTTGTAGGAGGCCTTTGATGCAGAAATTTTAAAAAAATGTTTATGTAAGTTTATAGAGAAATGTTGTAATATTGCAACATTGGGCTTAGTTGGGAGCAGAATTTCTGTATTTGTACTCACGTTGTCTGAACAACAATTCAGAACAACTAAGGTGCTTGTGCTTTCTCGTCTCGCAGGTTCTTGTCGATCCTGGTGGAGCCTCCTGCCATGGTCCTGCTAGATTGCCATTGCCAATACTGTTGTTGCTGTGCACCTGTCTGTCTGTCTGTCTCTCTCTCTCTCTCTCTCCCTCTCTCACCCCAACTGGTCGAGGCAGACGACCACCCACCTAGAGCCGGAGGATCTGTCCTAGGTTTCTGCCTTTTAACAGGCAGTTTTTGTCTCCAAGGTCTTGCTTATGGTGGTACTGTTGGGTCTCTGTAATTAATGTTAAAGAGTTCGGTCTAGACCTGCTCTATTTGAAAAGTGTCCTGAGATAACTTCTGTTATGAATTGGTGCTATACAAATAAAATTTAACTGAATTGAATTGAAGGGTTCATTTGCAGGGTTGATTGCTTACTTAGCCCCATAAAGGTATATAACATTAATAATAATCACATTAGTCATATTTTTATGAAGTCATTTATTAAAAAAACTATTAAACAGGATAAAACTCTAGCTTTTTCTAGCAACTTCTTCATTCCTTTTTTTCTTTTCATGACTGACTTTCATTGTTAGTGAAAGTCCCAAAAACAGTTCTTGTCCTCTGAAAAGCAAAGGCGAACATCACACTTGCTGCATTGCGTGTTGGTGTATCCTGTATTGCAGTGTCTGCAGCGTCCCTCCCTGTCTTCACTGGGAAATGTGCAACTAGGTCCTTGCATACATCCAATGTAAGGTGTGCACATCTCTTGGATGGTCTCTTCTGAGCATTCAGAGGGCTTTCTGATGTCACTGTCTGTGATGCTGGGCTCCCTTTGTCTAAAGATGGTCGTCCTCTCTTTGGGGTTCGAAGTGTTGTGTTTACCAGGATGAGAGAGGATGCTAGCTGTGCCTGAAACTGTCTCCTGTTCATTGTCTCTTTGCTAGACATCTTGAGAGCTTTGCAGTCCCGCTTGTAGAGGAGCCAGGCATTGACCACAGCGAGGATGATGGTGTGCAAGAAGATGTACATGTACCAGCAACGGGATTTGATGGGGAACTTATATTTGGCTGTAAATGAGTCCAACAAATCCATACCTGCCATGTACTTGTTGTTGGCACCAACAATGTAAGGCCTCTCAACTTCAATGTAGGTTCTGGTGGCTTTGTCCCAGCGTTGAATCTTCTGCACAGGTTCAGGTCCAGCAAAGGATGTGTGACGGCCCTGTTGTCATACCATTTGACAGCACAGATATTCCCCTCCATTCTGACGTCATAGCTTCATCTCCCCTTTTTCTTCAAGCTCTTCTCGTCTTCAAGGTTACAGTAGGGTAGGCGCACCTGCCTGGCTGTTCCCACGTAATGAATTCCCCGATCAAGGAGTTTCACTAATAATGGAACACAGGTGAAGTAGTTGTCTGCATACATTTTGTAGTTCTGACCTTCTGGATGTGTGGAAGCAAGCTTCATCACAACATCACCTGACAATCCAAGTTCAGATTTGGCTCGTTTTCCGTTGACATTGCCTTGGTAGACGTCACACATCATGCCAGAGATTCCAGTTCTCACCCACACTTTGAATCCCAATGGGTTTGGCTTGCCTTGCATATATTGCTTGATGCTGCTGAATTTCCCCTTGATAGGATACTTTCATACTGCCTTGACAGCTTGTTATGCTCTCTACTTATCATGCTAAAAGAAATATGCATCCCAATCACCAGCCATTTAGTCAAACAATACTGCCTTGACATAACAATACTGCGTTTTGTGCTCTCTAATTATCATACTAAAAGGAAAACATGCATACCCCCACTTATATCCACACCCCACATTCAGGAACATTTTCACCTTTCCCAGAACTGAATTGTCTGTTGATATCCTCTTTGTGGACAAAGTCATGGAATTTTAGGTCAGTCTGGTCAAATTAACTACATTTTTTAGAGATAAAACTTTTAATTCAGTCAAATTTGACCAGAACACAACACAAGGGTAGAATGTATACTGTCCATGTATAAAGAAAATACTCTGTTAGAGGCAGTGGTGTAGTGGAGGGAATGCAACCTGTTTGGGCCCACTGCAACAAGCCTGCTATTTTGACTACCACACTCACCCAGTGTTGTAGAATTGCAACAAATATATAACAAGCTCTAAATGAAATTTGATGAATCTATTCCACAATAACTACATATGTACATGCTCTGGACATTGTAATAACAACCAAAAAAAATGTAAAAGACATTTTACTTACTTGAATCTGATGAATCTAGTCCAATGAAACAAAGAGATGTTGTTCGAAGGAAACTTTGAGAGGTTGAGTGAGTTCATGGCCATAAGGCGGGACTTATAAACAAATGTACCATCCAATAGCATTGTGAGACTGAACAATAGGACCCAATGACTATGTAAATGTGGTAAAACATAACATAGTTTTTTAGGATGGCTCAAGGTAACGTAATTTTACAACAAGGGGTGTTACAGGGTTAAGCGTCTGAATTTCCTTTTTATTCACAGAGTTCACATTATATATATAATAATAAAATATATATATTATATTATTCAAACTATGTTTTGTATGCAGACGTGCAGTGATGTTTCTGGATTGTATTTAATACACACTGCAAATTCAGACTATTATCATTACAGTATTTATTTAAAACCTCTCAGATTAAATACGACTAAATATTGTTTCTAGAGCACCAACTGTAAAGTCACTATATAAACTCAAATATCTGGAAACAAATATACAATGAACCTTCCTGACTCGGTTTCAGTCCTTCCTCCACTGTAACAGCTTGTTCCTCGCTGCTTCCTTACTCACTCGTATTTCTCCTCTGTCTGGAGGAGATTTTTGTGTCAATATGTCAAAACAATTAATGTGATAAAAGAAAAGGATCCAAACATGAAGATGTTTTGTATTTTATTTATGAGCAACATCAGCACCAAGACAACAACAGAGATCATCAAACATCATCTTTTATCTGCTGGACACAAAAACTAAAATATTCGTCTGTACAGTTCAGATAAACATTAAAACATTCGTCCTCTTCATCGTCCGTTCAGGTCACATGACTGTCTGCAAACAGGATTAACAAAAAGTACAAAAAAAGTAACTCCAGACCAACCAATCAGCAATCAGAGCTCGTCTCCATCACTCACTTACAGGAAGCTGCTTCAGCGCGTTCAGAGAGACAAAGAACATCTATCAACGACTACCATTAATATCTTCAATCAATTAATGGTTCAAAATGCCAACAGATCCAGTTCCTGTCAGACTGCAGCTGTTTGGGTTTTGGTCTGTTGGCCGACATTTGAACAATGTTCACTGTTTCAACCATTAAATCGACTAATAAAGAAAATAACGGGCACATTAATTGAGAATAATCGTTGCAATTTGGCTGTTAAATGTTAAACGCTGCGTCCCCCCTCCTGGGGGATCTCAGCTGACTGGCAGGTCTGAAGTGTTTCACTTGGACCTTCATCTAAACTTGAAGACATAGTACTTTGAGAATGTAGTTTAATGAGATCATCGGAGACCGCAAACAATCCTTAAAAATCCTGAGGTCATTGAAGCAGCTCAAACTAAATGATCGTCTCTGAAGTTCATTAAGCAGATATTTTAATCCAAAAACAAAAGCTCGCTCAAAAATCAGTTCAGTGACCCAATCCGAGTTTAAGTCTGTTCCTAGTTCTGGATAATGGACTCAAACAGGCGGCAACCAACGCAGCTGCACTTCCTCTAATGTCCACTAGATGAGACTATATCTACTGAATTACAGTGAAAACCTCCAACTGTCTATAAAATATCAGCTCTGAGGGCAGTTTCCCAGTTTCATTGTTCCACTTCCAGGTTTCAACGTCTGAGGCAGATCACAGATCAGTCTCTCCAGGAAGCTGCAGGAATTAAATCTAACTAATCCTGTTGAATTCTGCGTGAAAGATTTGGTCAAATTACTGCAACTGTTCCTGTGAGTGTCACCGATCACAGCAAGGTTTTATTCTCACTGGAACTCTATTTCATCCCAGCTTAAACATTCACCGTACTGGCCGCAATATTGCTCTGAAATCAGCCTGAAACATCCCAGAAATTAGATTATAGTAATGTCATTCTCTCTGGGACAAGGGGTTCCTGAAATGTGGAGAATTTCTTTGAGAAAAGCTGCAGTGATATAATTTTCCTGGAGGGACCGATGTTGTACACTTTATTCCAGCACACCTGTGGTATGAAAGATGTG